TTGCTGCTGCTGCTGCTGCTGCTGCCCCTGCTCCTGCTTCGGCTGCTGGTTGGGCTCCAGCGCAGCTGCCGGCAGTCTCAGTGACTGTTCTGTGCGTCTGCGCGCTCGCGTCTGCGCCGCTGCTTGTTGCTGCAGCAGCTTCCGCTGCAGCAGCAGCAGCACCCGCTGCTGCTGCTGCTGCTGCTTCCTCTTTCTTCCTGTCTCGCTCTAGCTTTGCTGCTTCTGCTGCTTCACACAGGGCGCGCCGCTGCAGTTTGCGCCTGTCACTGAAAGAGGCCCTGCAGGGGCCCTCAGGTCCATTGCGGGGCCTTGCTGCTGCTGCTGCTGCTGTTGCTGCAGCTGCTGCTGCAGCAGACGGGGAAGGGCAGCAAGATGCGTCCTCCCCCGCTGGCCGGGCGGAGTTCGCCGCCGCTGCTGAGGCGGCAGTTGCTACTGCTGCCGCTGCTGCAGCGCGCGCAACGGCTGCTGCTGCTGCTGCTGCTGTTGCTGCCTTTGCTGCTGCAGCAGCAGCAGCAACCACTGCTGTGGGGCCCCCCGCCTCCCGAGCCTGCAAACAAGACAGCCGCTGCCGCGACGGCTTCGCCCCAGCCCTCCGCTCCTGCGTCTGCTGTTCCATTAGCTGCTCCGGTGGGTCCCTTGCACCCAGCAGCAGCAGCAGCAGCAGCACAAGAGCAGCAGCAGCAGCTGCTGCTGCCGCTGAGGGCCCCCTGCGCAGGCCCTCCGGGCCCCCCGAGAGACAACAGCCGCGCCGCGAGAGGGGGCACAGAGGGCCCCTGCTGCTGCATGCGTCTGGCCGTGCTGCGCCTCTGCTGCTGCTGCTGCTGCTAGCTCGTTCTGTGCACTGCTGCTGCGCCCTGCCCAGCAGCAGCAGCAGGAGCAGCGGCAGGGAAGGCGCGACTCACAGTCACAGCAACTCCAGGCGGTCCCAGCCCCAGGCGACAGAACCGGGAGCAGCAGCAGCAGCATGCAGCAGCAGCAGCAGCAGCAGCGGCGGCAGCAGCAGCAGCGTGGTGGGGCCGAGGAGAGTGGGCCCCTGCTAAAGGCGGAAAGTAAGGGACTGAAGCTTTGTCGAGTGTGTCCCAGAAGGAGCACCCAGAAGCAAAAAGAGAAAGAACTGCAGGAGCAGCAGCAGCAGCAGCAGCAGCAGCAGCAACTGCTCGTGGAGGGTGGCCGCGCAGGTGGGTGAGCGACTGCCGCGGGGGGCTCTACTGTATATACAGGGCTACGGATGAAATAAAAAGAATAAAATTCGTGAATTAAATTCAAAATGAAAAAAAGCTGCAACAGCTGCAACGGAGAAGCTCTAACGCGAGCGCAGCCAACGACACACGGTCTGTCTGCACACAGCTGCTGCTGCTGCTGCTGCTGTGCTGCTGCAACAGCTGCTGCTGTGTTGCTGTGGCTGCAGCTGGCCGTCCCTTTCGCCTGCTGCTGGCCGCTTGCGAGAAACTTCGCAGCAGCACAGATTAATAAATATGTTTTAAATAAATAGCAGCAACTCTGGCTGCATTTCAGTTGAAAGAGGAGCAGCAGCAGCTGCTGCTGCTGCTGCTGCTGCCGTCAGGGAGCGTGCAGCAGAAACACGTAGGAAGACACACAGTGGGGCCTGCGACTTTGCGGCGTTTCTGGCCGTTCAAAAGGGCCCAAAACACTTTCAAATAATTAAATTTATTAATTTATTTTCTTTTTTTGCCATTTTACTCTTCTTGTCCAGCAAACAGCGACCAACTCCCTGGTGTTGCATGCACCACGCCCATACACACGAGCCAGCTGCTGCCTCACTGAGGCTCATGAGGTCTTTAAACGCGGCCCAGCCCGGCCCCTGCAGCGAGCGAGGCGTTTTGCTGCAGCAGCTGCAGCAGCTGCTGCTGCAGCAGCAGCTGCAGCAGCAGCTGCAGCAGCTGCAGCTGCGGGAGCAGCAGTGAGCCTTTTCTGCTGGCCCTGGCTGCTGCGATGGGGCTGCCGAGAAACTCGAGGCTGCAGCAGCAACTGGAGGGGCTGAGAGTGGAGAGGCTGGCCGCCCCGAGGGTTTAGGGTTTAGGGTTTAGGGTTTAGGGTTCAGATTAGGGGTTTATGTTCTCGAGGTCTGCAGCAAGTGGAGAATAGGGTTTTCAAACAAACGGTTTAGGAGCAAAAGGGCGCACAGGCGCGCTAACTCTAAGACCTAAATTAGGGTTTGGGTTTTAGGCTTTAGATCTTAGGGTTTAGGGTTTAGGGTTTGCGGTTTAGGGTTTGGAGCTAGGAAACACCTTTTCAAGGGGCCCCAGGGAGCTGCAGCAATCTTGTTACTGCTGGGCTATAAAAACCTTTAAGCCCTTTAGCTGCTGCTGCGAGCTGTTGCTGCTGAGGCAGCAGCTGCTGCAGCAAGACTGCTCAGGCAGCAGCTGCTGCAGCAAGACTGCTCAGGCAGCAGCTGCTGCAGCAAGACTGCTGAGGCAGCAGCTGCTGCAGCAAAACCCTTCTAATTAATTCCCTCTTTTGGGGTTTTGCTGCTGCAGCCAAACAAAGTGCAGCAGATGGCCCACAGCAGCAAAACTTCGCCCCGCTGAGAGGCATCCAGACGCCTCCGTCCCGCTACAGCGGTGGCGCTGCTGCTGCTGCTGCTGCCGCTGCAGCTGCAGCTGCAGCTGCTGCTGTGTCTAAGGCAGCGCTGTGCAAATCAGATTTATTATACATTAATTAAAAATTAAGTAAATATGACTTGGGGAAGTTTTCTTTTATCAAATGAAAGAGAGACAAGCTGCTGCTGCACTTCTATTGAATCCAAAGCAGCTGGATTCGTTTCTGCTGGCTGCAGCAGCAGCAGCAGCAGCAGAGACTATTGGCCAGCAGCAGAAAGAACCACTGCAGCAGCAGCAGCACCACTGACCACTGGTCAGCACCAGAAAGAACCACTGGTCAGCTGCTGCTGCAGCTGGCCCAGGGGCTCCTCTGGGCGAGGAAATGCCCATGGGCTGCGGCCACAGGGCACAGCCGCCAGTTGCGACAGTTTTCTCTTCTTAATGGATCAAATTTTTCCAAATTAATTCAAATTTGTGAATTAATTTGTTTTAATTTCACTTTTATTGAATTAATTCCATTCAATTCATTAAAATTGAGGCTCATTGGCATGAAAAACGCTGAAGATCGATCTAAGTTCGTCTTTATGCATTCTTTCCTTGATTCAAATTGACTCAAATTCATTTAAATTGTTTTTAATTGATTTAAATTGGTTTAAATTGATTCATGTTGATTTGAATTGATTTAAACTCCTCAAACCTTGTTTAATTTCATTTGAAATTGTATTTTATAATTCAGGTTCGTTTGAATTCATTTAAATTGAGCTTCATTCTTGTGCGCTGGTCATCCATTTGAATTCATCTTATTTCACCCGGAATGGACACTTTAATTGATTTAAACTTCTCAAAATTAATTTAAATTCATCGAAATTAATAAAATTTAAATTTTATTTATTGAAATCAATTTTAACTGATTTAAATTTGTTCAAATTCATCTGAAAATGACCTAAACTGATCTACAACTCTCCGCATTCTTGAAATCGCTTCAGCTTATCTGTATTGAACTTGAGCGATCTGAGCCAATTTGAATTAACAGAACGAATATTTTAAATTAATTAATTTAAATCATTTAAAATAAAAATAAATAAATTCAAATCGAGCCAAATAGCCCTTTTATTCTTCGCTGTTCAAGTGCAGCTGAGAACAATGGGAGACGAGGCGCTGAAATCATAATAACCTGGCCACTAAATGAAGCTTTTTTTGGAATTTTTCGTCTCTGGAAATTAAAATAAAAACCTAAATAAATTAAATAAATCAACTAAACATTTTCGAGTCTTTAAATGGCATGTTTAGATCCAAATCCAGCCTAGATAGTGTTTTTCGACTTCAGTTCGGAAGACATGAAGATGAATTGTTGCTCGTGCAGACTCGTGGTTAAAGACGCTCTCTCTGGAGCCAATTGAATTGAATTTGAATCGTAAATAAATTTGAATAAATAAAATTAAATAATAAAAAACAAATATAAAAGAAAAAAAGAAAAAGAGAAAAAAGTGCTGCTACTGCTTCTTGGGTCTTGGAGGCCTGCCCCACAGCTCGACGGGGCCCCCTGAAGCGTTGCTGCGCCTTCCGAGCCCCTTTTTGTTCTACTCTTCTTTATTTTCGACAAAAAACAAAAAATAATTCTTTTGGCCTTTTAATTCTTTTCATTTTCGCCCTTTTCCGGCCTTTACGTGAAGGAAGATGGCAGCAGAAGAGGCCAGCGCGCCTGCAGCGCAGCCGGGCGCGAGCCCTGCAGCAGAACCAGCCAAGCCCGCTGCTGCGGCCACAGAAGCAGCAGCAGCAGCAGCAGCAGCAGCAGAGGCTTCCGAGGGCCAGGAGGGGAGCGGGAAGGGCCCCCGGCCGGCCAAGAGGCCGCGCAAAAGCCCAGCAGCAGCAGCAGCAGCACCCAAACTCAAGACACGGGAAGAAATGACTGAAGAAGAACTCAAAGCCACTTTAAAACGCCAAATCGAATATTATTTATCTGACGCCAACTTGGCCACAGACGCCTTCTTCCACGAGAAGATCCAGGAGGCTGAGAAGCAAGGAAAGGGGGTCAGCAGCAGCAGCAGCAGCAGCAGCAGCGGCAGCAGCAGCAGCATGTCCGCACATCTGCGGCGCCCCCTGCAGCAGCTCGTGTCTGCCCCTCCGCCCATATATTTCATCTTCTCAGCGCAGTTCCCTCTGCAGTCCCGCGGCTGTTTGCTGCTGCGGCTGCTGCTGCTCCTGCAGCAGCAGCAGCACGCCTGCTGCTGCTGCTGCTGCTGGAATTAATGGAAGTGAGTGCTGCTTGTGCGCGCAGGTGTCCTTGAACATCTGCTTCGTGCTCAGCAGCCCCAGAATAAAAGCTTTGGCAGCAACAAAAGAGGAAATAGCAGCAGCTCTTTGCGACAGCGCTGCGGTGTCTGTACACCCGGACGCAGCAGGCGATCTGTGGCTGCAGCGCCAAGGGCCTTTGCCGCCACTTAAAAAGAAGTTCAAAAAGGGCGAAAAAGACGAGGCTGGACTCGCCAAAGACCCCCACGCCGTCGGGTCTGCTGCTGCTGCTGCTGCTTGCATTGCTGCTTTTGCTGCTGCTGCTGCTGCTGCTGCTGCTGCTTGCATTGCTGCTGCTGCTGCTGCTTGCATTGCTGCTGCTGCTGCTGCTGCTGCTTGCATTGCTGCTGCTGCTGCTGCTGCTGCTTGCATTGCTGCTGCTGCTGCTGCTGCTGTTTGCATTGCTGCTGCTGCTGCTGCTTGCATTGCTGCTGCTGCTGCTGCTGCTGCTTGCATTGCTGCTGCTGCTGCTGCTGCTGCTTGCATTGCTGCTGCTGCTGCTGCTGTTTGCATTGCTGCTGCTGCTGCTGCTTGCATTGCTGCTGCTGGTGCTGCTGCTGCTGCTGCTTGCATTGCTGCTGCTGCTGCTGCTGCTGCTTGCATTGCTGCTGCTGCTGCTGCTTGCATTGCTGCCGCTGCTGCTGCTGCTGCTTGCATTGCTGCCGCTTGCATTGCTGCTGCTGCTTGTTTCAATTTGTTATTTATTTTTATAATTGGTTTGCTGCTGCACTCCGCTGCAGCTGCATGGCCCGGCTGAGCAACTTGCCGGCGGAGGCGCCGAGTTGGCAGGCAATAAAGGACGCTCTGCGGGAGAAGCTTCCTCCAAAAGTGAGAAATTGGTCAAATTAGTTCAATTTGTTGCCTTATTTTGGTCTAAAATGTTCGAATTAATTCAGAATTTTGATTTATTTTCATTTAAAATGCTTTTTTGAACTCATTTGATCCATTTTGATGGCTCTAACTCCAATTTTCACTCAGCTTCCTCACTCTGTGCTGCGGTGTCGATGCTCCTGCGCACGCGAAGTCAGCCTTGTTTGTTCCCACCTCATCTTTGTTCATGATCTATCATTTATTTATTTATTTATTTATTTATTTATTTATTTATTTATTTATTTGTGTTTGGTTTTATCTGCCAGTTAACCCGTGCACTGCCTCCCTCAATTGCGGTTAAAGCCACGCAGACGGCGAAGTTGAACAAAGCAGAAAACGAACGAAATAAGCCAAAAAAGAGCAGAAAAACGCGAAATAAATCAAAGCAAAACAAAACAAAGCAAAACAAACAAAAATATCAAAATAAATAGAAAAGAACGGCGAAAAAGGGTTTTTTCTGGGTCTTTTGCGGCTTTCAGGTGCAAATTCGCTACGTTTCGCGGGTTGATAAGAACCAGCAGTGCACAGTTTGGTTGGGCAGCTTCAAAGGCGATAAAGCCCTTTTAGAAAAGCCGCTGCAGCTCCAGCTAGCCAACGCCGAGGCCACGCTGGCCCTCATGAGCCCCCAGGAAGTCCGCGCCGCCGTTAACTCCGACGTGAGCCAATGGCTAGCTAGCTAGCTAGCTGGCTAGCTGGCTAGCTGGGTGGGGGGCTGGGAGGGTGGGAGGGATGGGGGGGGGCTAGCTAGTTGCCTGGAGAGCTGGCTGATTGGTTGGCTAGAGAGCTAGCTGGCTAGCTAGCTAGCTAGCTAGCCGGTTAGCTGGCTAGCTAGCCATCTAGCTAGCTAGCTAGCTAGCTAGGTGGGCTAAATGTTAATGTGCTTGCCATTAGATAAGCAGACAGCGGGGAGCTAGGGGGGGTAGAGGCGTGTGGGGCACCATCCTGGCTAGCTAGCCAGCTAGCTAGCTAGCCACCTTGCATCCCAGCTGTAGCCACAGTGTATCTTCTGCAAAGTCGTGCCCAGAAGACCCTCTTGTTCCCCTGCTGCTGCTGCACCGCCGTTGCTGCTGCTACTGCTGCTGCTGCTGCTGCTGCTGCTGCTGCTGCAGCTGCCGCCGCGGGTGCGGGCGAGCCGGGAGAAGGAGCTGCAGCAGTACCGGCGGCAGCTGCTGCTGCTGCCGCTGCAGCTGGGGGGCCTCCGCTTCAGCAGCGTGGGGCACTTGGCCAAATGCATGCAAGATTTAATTCAAAAGACTTCTGCTGGAAATTTCCTCAAGTCCAAATCTGCTGCTGAAAATGCTGTCTTTGCCCTCCTCAATTACCACCCCAACAGGGCCCACAAACTGGGGGGCCCCCAGAGGGCCCCCGTGGCCATCAAAGTCGACTTCCACCACAAGGGGGCCCGCCAAGGGGGCCCCCAGGGGGCCCCCCAGGGGGGCGCCCAAAGGGGGCCCCAGGGGGAGAACGAGGCGAACGGGGGCCCTCAGGCGAACGGGGGCCCCCAGGGGGCCCCTGAGGGGCAGGGGGGCCCCCAGGGGGGTACTGAGGGGCAGGGGGGCCCCCAAGGGGGTACTGAGGGCGAGAAGGGTCAGGGGGGCCCCCAGGGGGCCCCCGGGAATGAAGGCAGCGGCACGAAGTGCTTCTTTGTTATTAGGAGGCACAAGGAGACAAATGAGGAAGATGCAGAGGTCAGCAGCAGCAGCAGCAGCAGCAGCAGCGGGGAGGGAAGCGGTAGCAGGCGCTGAGGCACAGTCTAACCAGCTAAACAGCCATCTAGCCAGCGAGCTAGCTAACCACTAGCTAGCTAACCACTAGCTAGCTAGCCAGATAACTAGCTACCCAGCCAGCTAAGCAGCTAGCTAGCCAGCTAGCTAACCAGCTAGTTAGCCAGCTTCCCAGCTATCTCGCCAGCTAGCTAACCTGCTAGCTAATCTGCTAGCTTGCTAGCCAGCTAGCTAAACAGCTAGCCAGCTAGGCTAGCTAGCTAGCTAGCCATTGAGGAGTGGGTGTGTTGTTTGCAGGACTTCTCGGTGTCAAAGTGCATTTCGGAACTTTCGAAAAACCCGCCAGTAGAGCCGGAAGCTTTTGCTGCCTTTTTGGAACAGCGGTACCAAGCTGCTGCTGCTGCTTTTGACGCTGCGCAGCAGCAGCAGCAGAAGCGCAAGGCAGCAGCAGCAGCAGCAGCAGCAGCGGCTGCCGCCACGGACGAGAAGAACACGAACGAGCCGCAGGACGAGCAGCAGCCACAGCAGCAGCAGCAGCAGCAGCAGCAGCAGCAGACCGAGGAGCACAGCGGCGGCGACAGCAAGGCCCAGACAGAAGCCGCAGAACCAGCAGCAGCAGCAGAAGCAGCAGCAGCAGAAGCAGCAGCAGCAAGCAGCACAGCTGCTGCCGAAGAGTCCAAGGCGTAACAGCTGCCTGCGCACATATCATACGTAGCTAGCCATCAGCTAGCTAGCCACCAGGTAGCTAGCTACCTACCAGCTAGCTACCAGCTATCTACCAGCCAGCTACTAGCTAGCTACTAGCTGGCTAGCTAGCCACTAGCTAGCTAGCTAGCTAGCTATCTATTTAGCTAGCTGGCTGGCTAGCTACTGGCTAACAGCTAGCTAGCTACTGGTTCGCCCCTCGCCAGCCAGCTGTCAGTTAGACGGCTGGCTAGCTAGCTGACAAGCGCCCACGAGCTGCTGGCTAGCTAGTGGCTAGCTAGTGGCTAGCTGGTGGCCAGCTAGTGGCTAGCTGCTGGCCAGGGCTAGCTAGTGGCTAGCTGCTGGCTAGCTGGGCGCGGGGTGTACGTACACCTCAGGGCGGGAGCCTGGGGGCCTTTGGAGTTTTAGTGGAATGAAAATTCATTTTATTTATTTCTGCTTTCTACTGGCAGCTGCTGCCTTCTTTTCTTGCTTCGCGCTGCTGCTGCTGCTGCGGTGCGGCTGCTGCAGCGGCAGCGGGGTGTATGTACAGCTGGCTAGAAGAGGCAGCTCGCGGCTAGGAGTCGACAAAAAGTAAAAAGTAAATAATAGAAATTAATTGTATTCATTCATTTTAAAAAAAAGTTTATTTTAAAAATATAAATATATATTCAGCTGGGCTGTACGTACACCTCAACTGAGGCGACGCCTTCATAGCAAGCTCCAGCTGCAGCAGCAGCAGCAGCAGCAGCAGCTCTAAAATCAGGGTTTAGGGTTTAGGGTTTAGGGTTTTGGGGGTGCCGCGGGGGCGGTCCGTTTCCAGTGAGCCATTTTGTGGTTTCCACGAAGTGCTGCAGCTGCAGACAAACAGCAAATTTGATTTTGTTTTAATTATTTATTTTAATTATTTATTTTAATTATTTCCTTTATCTTTAGTTTATTTCAATTATTTATTTTGATGAAGCAGCAGCAGCAGAGGCAGTGGCGGCAACGGGCAGGCGCGAGTGCAGCAGCAAAAGCAGCATCAGCAGCAGCAGCTGCTGCAATAACAGCAAGGACAGAAGCAGCAACAGCAGCAGCAACGACAGCAGCAGCAACAGCAGCAGCAGCAGAAGCAGCAGCAGCAGCAGCACTTACATTGGCTACGCCGCATTGGGTCTTGAGGTAAATCCAGGCAATTGAAAACACAGAAGCAACAGCAGCAGCAGGCAGAAAAAAGAGAGCAGCAAGCTCTCTAGCAGTAAACAACTCAGCAGCAGACGCAGGCTGCTGCCGCTGCTGCTGCTGCTGCTGCTGCTGTTGCTGCTGCTGCTGCGGGGCCCCTACGGGGGCCCCCTCGTCTTCGTCGTCGTCACCCCACACTTTGCTTCTGCGGTGTCTAGACAGCTCTGCTGCTATGACAGCAGCAGCAGATTTGGAAGGAAGTTGCAGCAGCTCAGGCTTTAGGCTGTTCAGCGTGGGCGGGGCTCCTCTTCCAGCTGCTGCTGCTGCTGCAGGTGGTGCTGCTGGGGCTGCTGCTGCAGGCGCTGCAGCAGCAGCAGCAGCAGCAGCAGGAAGGCGTTTGTTGAGGACACGCATGCGCGCTCGATAGGAAAGAGTTGCTGCTACAACGCCAAAGAGAGTTCCGCCCAGGAAGAGGGCGGGGAGTGTACATACACCCAAAGTGTTGGTTGCAGCAGCAGCAGCAGCACGAAATCGGCCCTCAACCTGCAGCAGCAGCTGCGGGAAAAACCCAGAAGCAGCAGCTGCTGCATCTGTGGGTCCCCCGGGGGCCCCCTGGGGGCCCCGGGGCTCACAGAGCTGGTTCAGTTCCAGGCACGTGGGCTCCGCTGCTGCTGCTGCGCTGCTGCTGCTGCTACTTCTGTTAGAAGGCTGGGGGCCTAGGAAGGCATTCATTTCAAGGTGATGACAAGAACAAAAAGAAATGACAAAAAATTTGGGGGATGAGTTGGCGGTTCATGTGCTCACTTGAGGTGTACATACACCTCAGAGGCGGCGAGTCTGGCTTTGGTTTGAAATCTTCGGCCATTTGTTTTTCTAAATAAATAATAAAATATTTTTGGAAATTTAATATTTAAAAAGACTAATTTCAATTCAATTCGGCTGTAGTCACACAAAAAGCACCCGGCGCATGCAGCCGAGTGCCGGGGCTGGAGAGTGAGCTCCTTCGCGGGGAAGAGACCGAAATTCCGGAGAAATAAATAAATAAATAAAATTAAATTAAATGATTTAATTAAAAAAACAAAATATGATAAAGGAATAGAACACTTTTCACAATTCAGGCCGAGGAAAAGGTTTTGCAAACCCTAAACCCTAAGCCCTAGAGTGAGCATTCGAATAATGGGAACCTCGAGTGTCTGGCTCACCGCTACTTTCCATTTATCCTTTATTCACTTAGAAAGTCTAAAACACTTCTAGTTGTTCTTTTAATTCTTTCAATTCTCTTATAGATGAATGTTATTCATTTGTTGTTCTCAAGTCTTGCAGTCGCCGCTGCACCTGCTGTCTGGTGTCAGTACACCCGAGAAAGCCTGCAGCAGGCGTCGAAGCGGCCGTTCTGTTTAATTTTAATTTTAATTTGAGATTATAATTGAATTAATGGCTAATGTTTAATATTTCACATTATAATTGCAACAAATATTCCCATTTTCGCCACTTTTTGTCCACAAGAGCCTCCGGCAGCGGCCCGAGAAGACGCCCAAGGAAAGCTAAGCTGCAGCGACACCCCGGAGTAAAAGCAAAAACAAGTTCAAATGAATAAATAAAAGCAGCCACAACTAAAAATAAACAAATAAATGCAAATAGAAGCCCAACTGCACCATTTCAAGAAGACAACAGCAGATAAACTCCTTTTGCTGCTGCTGCAGCAGCAGCAGCAAGCCCCCAGGCGTTCCCGCAGCAGCAGCAACAGCTGTCTGTACACCCCCGAGGTTCCCCGGGGCCCCCGGGGGCCCCCTGGGACCCCCCGGGGCCGTTTTTTTCGCGTTCCACATCAATTCTTCTGGAGATTAGAGAACTGCTGCTGGTCGTCTTGGGAAGCCTGCAGTTTGCTGCTGCTGCTGTGCGCAGCTGTGGGCTCCAGGGGCAGCGGGGGGGGCGCGGGGGCCTCCCCGGGCCGGAGACGCCCGCGGGCCACAAAAAAAGGGTTCAGCAAGCAGCACTTGTTGTACCTGAGGGGCCCCCGGGGGCCCCCCCTTGCTGCGTCTTCCCAGCAGCAAACTTCGCCCCCGCATGCAGCCAAAATTGCATGCGCTGCGCAGCTGTCCCATTCGCTGCAGGGGGCGAAGCGGGGGTACAGAGCTGCTGCTCCGCAGGCCACGGCCATGAACTTCAGCGCAGACCTGCGCAGCCGCAGCAGCAGCAGCAGCAGCAGCAGCTGCAGCAGCGGCGGAGGCGGCCGGGGGGAGCCCCGGGAGCAGCAGCAGCAGCGGAAGCCGCAGAAGCAACGGCAGCACACGCACACCCAAAACCAGCAGCAGCAGCAGAACACGACGCAGCAGCAGAACACAACGCAGCAGCAGCAGCACCAGCAGCAGCAGCCGCACCCGGCCTGCTGCAGCTGTGGCTGCTGCAGC